GCTAAGATTTAGCTGTGGCTAGCACGGCCTGTTTCCCAAGACGGCTGTCTGAAACCAGTTCTGTCAGAGGCGGTTTTACAGCCAGGACAGTTTGTCCTTGTGGATTTTTGAATACTCAGACAGTCCCCGGCTTCCAAAAGAGTTGGTGTCTCTGTGTAAAACAAACATTATCCAGTGCTCGCTGCGGTTCAGGCCTAACTTGTATCGTCGCTCGCCCCGATGGCCGAACAGCTCAACCGTTTTTCTAGCTAATGTTTACAGGAAGATGCAGGCATCAAGCTACTGCTTGTTTACATCGTAGTCTGCATGGTAAAACATATTTAGCAGCCTCTTTTATAATTCGAATAAAGACCAACTTAAAATCACAAAATCCAATGAAAGCCGGTACACAAGGCAGCGCAACTTTATTCATATAACGTTAGCACATTTCATATACAGAGGCAAACCAAAGAGCTTTACAGAGGTAAGGAACAACTGTAACAACACTAAAAACAATAAGCATTAAAACCAGATAAGACAAGGCAAACAAATATAGTTTTTTTTTACAAATATAGTTAAAATGAGATAAAATACATGCTATTTTAACTAAATATAAAAATAAAGACAACTACTGAAGGGTCCTTTTGCAATCGCCAGAATCACAATCTTATGTCTTCTCCCAAAACCTTGAAATGTGTCATTTTTAGTCTTAACATTTGAAACCACTCACCCCATAGACTTGAGAAAACATCAGGGCTTTAGGGTCACAAGGGACAAATGTTTATTTTATGTTTTTGATAAATGTTTGTCTTGACACAACAATCAGCAGCTATAGCATTTCACAAGTTCCCATGATGCGTTTGCTTTGAATTGTTAATACAGTGTCATGTGTGAATTGTGTAGTCTCAGTGGAGTGTCAGTGATAGTTAGCCTACAACAAATGTAGCTCAAACTATGAGACCATCAACTTAGTTACTGGCTTTTGCGCAATTTTCTCAAATACACTGGATTTAGAAATAGGATGTTGTAAGGAACTGGTCATATGAAAGACTGGAAACACTTTATAATAAGGCTACAAATCATATAACCAATGTTTAATGCATGACTCATAATTTAATGTATAAAGTTGTACAAGATCATCTGTCAAAGATCATCAGTACAAGCCATGGAGGTCCTGTACACCTCATGGGTCAAAAGGAGGGCGGAGACGCGGACTGTTTGAATTCCTCCCCCCTGGACGGCGCTACAGGTATGCCAAGACAACCAGGCACAAGGACAGTTTCTTTCCCCGGGTCATCACTCTGATGAACACGTACAGGTCTCTATAAGTACTTTTACTCTTATTTATTTTATTATTTTCTATCTCTTTTTTAATGCACATTCCCTTGCTTGTTGACATGTATGTACACATTGAGAGCCGCTGTACCAGAGTCAAATTCTGTATGATCTTCATGATTCTGAAGGTGTATCATGAATTTCTGTCACCACTAACAAACGATCAAGTCAGTGTGGCTTTCTGTGATTAGTTTATACTTTATAAATCATAGGTTAAAGATTTTAATTCACAATGACTTGATATTAGGGGTGTGACGATACACTCAGCTCATGAGATAAGATGATACACAATATTGGGTTCGCGAGAACAAGACGAGATTTTAAGTTGGGCTGTCCCCTAATAGTCTAGCGGTTGATTCGTTAGTCTCGAGACTGTCAGTTGACTGAAACTCTCTTAGTTGGCCCCCTGTTTATATTCTAACAGCAGCACTATGCCATCTGACATAACACCATCTGTAGGAACAGCAACAAAGGTCATGCAATGTCTGCCTCCCTTGCCTCATACCTTCCAGAGATTTTGAACATTAGATATTCTATATGTTAGCCCATCTGTATGCACTGTCTTGCGATGTGTCACATGGTCCAAAAACAGCTTAGAAATCTTTTACGGGGTTGTTGCCTTTCTGGGGAGTTTCAGAGACTATGCATTACTCAGACTACATACATGACAAGCTGATAGTCAGTGCCCAACAGTGACCTAACACATTAGCCAACAAATTGAACCGTGTGTCCAAAGACGGGGTTTGGTACTAATATTTTTCTATTATGAGAGCTTGAGCCAGGCTTTTGAACCCGAGGCCCATCACCTCTGGAACTTCTATCTTAATGGCAAGGGCAGGTAAACCCTACAGACTGCACGTGAGGCAGTAAAGTGACGATCTTCATCAACTGAAAGTAGTATTTCCAGAAAACAGGCGATTGTTTCATCTGAAGCAACAGGATGTCTCTGCTTTTGAATACAAATTGAATAACCTGTACCACTGAATACTGCCCCAAAGCAATCAGCATCCACATTTTTTCTTCAGTAAATGCATGTCTAGTTAAATAGGCTTGATACAGAAAAAATGAACTTATAATTGGAAAAAGTATAGTTTACAACCCTTTGTTCAACATTTTTTTAGATCTTTATACAATAGTAGGTAGCCAATGTTTGTTAAATAAAATATTTGCATTTATCGCAAGTCTTACATAAAATTAGAGATCTGTTTGAAATTGTTTAGAATTGTTAGAAGCATGTAGTAAAATGTGTCAGTGCAGTGAAAATGGCTAATAAAGTGACTCCATACAAAGATAATAGTATTTTTCCACCATCCAAATACATTTATTTATTTACATATTGATAGTTTAAAATCCAATATTAAGGATTCCAATCACACACTGCTCTCTGGTTTACAGTCATTTGTAAGAAGATCAGAATACATACATTTGTCTGTACAATATTTGTAATATATTTCTTAAATCATTCTGATTATGCATTAATAAACTAGGATGAATTTTATAGTGCAAAAAAACCCATCACCACCTCCTACAGTTATAAACTGTCCATACAACACTGTGTCAAAGGTTCTGTTATGAGAAATTATATCTAAAGCAAAATTTGTATTTAGTCCCAAAGATTTCAAGTTGATACTTTCTCAAACTGTGATTATCCTTCATACTGATTCTGTAATAATGTACTGTATTGTATGTATAATCCAAACACCCCTTTTAAATAATGTAAATAGTACTTAATTAAAATAATAGATAATGAGAAATCAATTTTCTTTTGACAGTGATTAAACTTAAAATGTTCTTCCCTATCTTTTGTGTGTGTGAATGCATGGGTGACTATAAGATGTTCAACTGATCTGTAACACAATGCAGCAAAAACAGTTTATTTCTGGTTCTGCAGCAGTTCATCGATCTGCATTTTGTACATGTTCTTTACATCTTCAAGGTCCAATCTCAGCTCCTCAGCCTCTTCAGCCTTTTCTCCATACATCTGCAGGATGGTGTTGTGCCTCTGCTCCAGATCCTGAAATGCACAGCCACACAGATTAGCAGAACATCAGCTGAAACACAGTAGCACAACAGAAGAGTCTGAGAGTTGTAATTAAATGTCTTCTGATACTACTGTCAAGATTTATAGCCCTTACCTTGAGCTGAATTTTCAGTTTAGGGATCTCCTTCACCTTGTCCTCCATGTCATCATTTTGATTGGTGAGTCGAACCAGCTCTTCCGCAATCACAGAGCGACTCCTCTCCAGACTAGAGATTTCAAGCTACAACAGCAGGAGGAAAGAAAGTGGTCAGTAAATACCACTCACATACAGCACATACTGAAGCTGCCATTTGTTGCAGGAGTAGAATTCTTTTTTATTACATATCAGAATGTTCATTTTGCTGTTGATACATCTGGTCAGTCTTTTAGCTGCACACAGATGGTGCTGACATTTATGCAGAACCATCAAACTAATAAAGTCTTATTCAACTTTATATGGGTTTGTTCTGAATTTCTACCTGTAGCTGCACTATCTCTCCTTCTCTGAGCTTAAGCTGAGACTGGAGGTTTTCTATTATGCTGGAGCCCCCAGACAGTCTGGCAGCCTCATAGAGATTGGTCCCACTCATTGATAAAGACGTGGTCATGGTACCCAGTGAGTGGTCTAAAGAGTCATCCTGGGGAATAATAAAACAAGGTATAAAACCATTCACGCTACAGAAATTCAAGCATGTATACGCTAATTTTCTAGCCACTTTAACATTTTCCCCAGTATGTACCTGGGAAAGAACAGAAGTATGTAGACCAGTGTTGTCCACCCCACTGATGGAGCTGGAGCGGGACAGGGAGGGTGTGGAAGAAGCTGGGGGCTCTCCCACAGAATGGGCCATAGCTTTGCGCTCCTGCCAAGGAAAACATTTTCACATTATTAGAGAACAGAATGAAAACATCTTAACTGCTCGCATACAGAGTGAAAAAACTGTCTCTACTTACTCTGAGAAAAATAAAAATATTTTCTAAAAAGCTGAAAACTCTCTAAACCTTTTCCTTCAGTGCTTCTTGTGCCAAGTAGAATTTCTTCTTCTCTTGCTCCACTTTCATCTTTTCCATCTCTAGTTGATTGGTCAGTAGCAGCTGGTAGGAGAAGCAGAAAGCGCATGAGGAAGCTGTTTCATGCAGCATATCAACAAGAGTAGGAACAAGCTTTATGGCACCTTTTCCTTCTTGGTCTCTTCCTGCATTCGACTGTGCTCTCCTCGCAGATTTTCCAGTTCAACATGCTCCCTACAATAAGAAAACAATTAGTCACTGCAAATAATGAACAGCATTAATGACACAAAACTAAGTGAACAGGGTGTACAATCAAGGAAAATGCATAACAGTGTGAAATGCCATGGTAATTCCCTATGATCTTTACTATTGAAGGAGGCACAAGGTTTCTCAAGCAATTATGTGCTTAAATATGTTCTGCTTTTTTTTTACTGCTATATATAGATAATAGGGCGTAGCGGCATTTAACTACAGTATCAAGATATACTTTGTTTCCTTTTGTGCTACATAATGCTGCTCAGTAGTGTATATAATTAACATCTTTCAGAATGAGATAAAAGTATACGAGCCAGCCAGGAGTCGAACCTAGAATCTTCTGATCCGTAGTCAGACGCGTTATCCATTGCGCCACTGGCCCAGTCACAACAAGCAAGCTACTCTCAAAACATAACCATGTAGCACAAAAGCTCACTCAACAGGGGGTTCCCCACCCACCTCTGACTGCACTCTGCCTTTATCACAAAACAAACATTCTCCTGGAAGCATTACAATGACAATGAGATGTGATGACTAAATTTGAACCTTTTCACCAGTTTTTTTTTTTTCCTACTCTGAAACACTATGATGGTGGAGTGGGGGGAAAAAACTAACTGCAGACAAAAACACTGTCATCATGGAAAAGTGTCCCATTGGCAGTTATCCTTCAACAGCATGGCATGAGTAACAAGTCAGAAAATGCTCTCATTAAAGTGTCTCTGATGTAGCTAAGAAAAATCTTACAGTGCTTCCCATGCTTTCATACTCTTTTTTTTTTAACATATAGTAATGCAATAATGCTGTTCATCTGAACGTCCCTTCTGCACTAGCTCTCCCACAGCAGCAGCAGCAGCAGCATGTTGGCTGCTGCCCTCCTCCTACATCCATCTCTTCCTGACCCTTTCCTTGCTGCCTTAAGTGTTAACTTTATCCACTTGCAGGGAAGTCAATAGCTTGCTGACATTGACAAGAGCTGTATTCTAATGTTAGCTTAGCCAGCCTTACTAGCTTGCTAACAACTTTTTAGAACAGTTGGATCTCTGCAAATGACAACACTGTTTAAAAAAAAAAGCCCTGTGATTCGAAGCTGTTCACAGATGCTCCATCATCATGGTTGTCATGTATTTGTGATCTGTGTGTGGGAGACAGAAATAGAGGGGCGCACAGAGGGGCTGAGCTAATATATGTGCTATATACGACACCACACTGAAAAAAGATTTAACCTATTTTAAATCAATATGTGGCGGTCAATGCTGATATTGTGGCAGCCTGCCACAAATAAGTCAATGCATGGGAAACACTGTCTTACAGTTATCACAAACCATGCACATGTTTACAGACACGTGCATCAGCTCATTTATTCAGCCCCACAAAGACATAATGATGGCTGGTTGACTAACTCAGCCTAGCAGACTCAAGCGTTAAACTGTGTTACCTGCTGCTCTCATCCTCTAGTTTCTCTCTCTTGCTCCTCTCAGCCTCCAGCTGTGCCAAGGTTCTGGCTTTTTCCTGGCGGAGCAAGGAATTTTGGGACTCCAGGGCAGCCAGCTGAGACTTGATGGACAGCAGTTCTTCTGCTGCCGAGCGCTCCTTCTCCACAGCAACAGCCAGCTGTGTCTGAGCATCAGCTGGAAAAATGAAAACAAGGAAATAACAGGACGGCAAAACTGAAGTTAGGATTTTAGACACTTTGAGCAGTACTGTATTTTGATGATAGTTACCTAGCCTATCAGAGATATTCCTCTCCAATTTTTCCCACGATGCTGTTTGTCCACCTAATGAGGCCTGTAAGTTCTCAATCTGTCGCAGAAGGGGTCGTGTCGCTGAGGTAACACTCTGACTGAGCTCCTGGTTCCTGGACTCTGCCTCCTGAAGCCTCTGTGGAAAATGGCAAAAAGAAATGGTGCACAATAAACTCTTTGTCAAAATTATGGTTATGTTTGATTCTTATCAAAAGGAGTTAGCTTGGCTGAAGACCTTACTTAAAGCAGATTATATTACCTGTTGCAGTTCACTGATCTCCTCCCTCAAATAATCTTCCTTCCTTGCCTGCTGTTGCTCAGCCCTCTGCAGAGCCAGCCTCAGATCAGCAACCTGTACACAGTATTTGAAGGTATTAATGAAGGATGTCCTCTGTAAAGAGTACTCAACCATTTTAGCAGTTTTGCATACACCTAAAACATTGCTGGACTCACAACAGCCTAACTATACAGGATCAAAATCAATGTAGCAGAACCAGAGACACTGTCAAGTTTTAATCTTCTATGCGAAGTATTCACTGGATTGTGCAGCTTAAAGACAGTAGTTTTATGAATGAAAGCTAGTGCGGGTGAACAAAGTCTGGCTTTAATGCAAGCATCACACTCTGTCAGCTATGCATAAGCAAGGGCACGATCACAACACAAAATTTTGAGCACGGGTTGCAGTGCCTCCTGCACATTGGCAGAAGTAATATGCTTCTTATTCGGCACTTCCAAGGTATAAAGTTGTATGTTGTGAACACCAAACCCTAGTTTGTAAATGAGTAATATGAGCTTTAATGCTTCAACATGTATAGCAAACAAATTGTTCCATGGAGTGTGTTTATAGCAAGAGCCAAATTTACCTGGTTGGCTAGGGCCTCCTGCTGCACCCTGGCATCCTCCTGGGCTCTCTCAAGTGCCAGGCTCAGCTGCTCTTTGGCCTGCATTTCCCTGCTCATTGCTGCTTCTTCAACTTCGCTGGCTCTGCTGGCGTTAGCCTTGTGGAGTTCTGCGATCTCCCTGACATCAGAAAACAACCATTAATGAACGTCATGACTTCAGCCTGACTACAGTGTACTCAGTAAGTCTAAGAACAGTGAAACATTTTAGATTTTTTTTTGGTTTTGTTTTATTGTATTATTTCATCCCCTTAAAACTGGTCAACTACATGTAAAAGTAACTGCAATCTGTACACTGTTCACCCACTGTAGATGTAAATTATCTCAATATAAAAGGTGGAATTCAACACAATTTCACTGCATATCCAATAAACTGGAGGACCACAAAATATTTCTGTCAAATACCAAATTCTGTGCTGCATACTCTGTCAGACATTAAGTAACATGATGAAATATAAAGGACAATATAATATATTAGCAGGATTGTGAGGTCATATTTACATATTTACAGAGCCCTGGTGTTCAGTATTACTAGCAGAGTGTGTCAGTGTTTACTTATAAGAGTTGTCTAGAGCAGCCTGAAGGCTCCTGTTCTTCTCCCGCAGCTCCTCACAGTCTGACTGCAGCTGGCTCAGCTCCTTCTCCTGCCGCTCCACCACAGCATTCAGCTTCTTGATGTTTTCCCGGTGTTGTTTCTCAACCTCCTCCTTCCCATCTAGAACCTAACACATACAATATGGACAATTCACCCAATCATGAAAATTAATTTGGGAGAAAATGTGTAATGTTTATGGGGAAAATCCAGAAGCTCTAAAGCCTCCAAAAGAAACAAACTCATTGGTCTGAATTTCTTTATCTTTTTAGCCTGGTTTATATAATGGAACACAAAGAGAGAAGAACAATGATTAAAAAGTAAACTAATAAGAAATGCATTGATATACAACATAACCCTTATATTCTTCATCTTATCTGAACAATAAATACAGAGCACTGCTGTTTTATAATGCCTTCGCCAACAAATGCAATATTGGTAAAAGATGCTAAGAACTTGCATTGTTTTCTGACACAAAAAAACAGGTCAACTAAAAGTACTTTGACATGAGTCATCATCATGTCAAACCTGCTACGCTACCCTAATCACTGAGTAGCACTTGCAGTGGTAACATGGTTCTGAGGTGTGGATTTAGGCATTAATTCATACTGCTGTCATTTTCCTAAGTGTAGTGTATGTGATCCAAGTGGTAGCAAGATTTCCAACAGAGCAGCATCACTGACAGCTTTTAAATCAAGTTTCATCTGGTGATGAGTCCTGACTTCTTCACTAAAAAGTCAGAAACATGCCAAACAGTGGAACAACAAGAAGCAGGACACCCCAGAACCTCAAAGCCAATTCACTCTGTTTCTGATAGTATAAGCAACAACTGATCAGTGAATGCCAACCTGCTGTAGGTGCTTGAGCTCTTCCTCTTGCTCCTTGATCTTCTTCTGTTGCTTGGCGACCCTTGTGTCACTCTCTTTCTCCTTCACACGCAACTTCTTGATGATGTTGCTGTGCTGCAGCTGCTGCTTGGACAACTTTTCACCTTAAAGTGAGATAAAACAAACATCTTAGATAAATGTTCAAAAACAGATTCTGAGATGCTGCCCACTACTGAGCAGTATTTCACTAATAAGGTAATAAAGTCACCAGCTGTGTTTTTAACCCACCCACACTCTTCAAGCTTAATGTAAGCATGTTTTTTTCCATAATAAATAATTTGCTCTAACTTTAAAATTAGGGAATTAGCACTTTTCCATCCATATTCCTTTAATTAAGAAAATTCCAGACAGGTCTGTCATGGCTTAGTGCTGTCCCACTGGAAAATAAACACATTGGTGAAGGATCTCTGGTTCATTTAGACACAGTTTCAATCAGTTTGCAAATCTGCAGACCTAGGGATAAGAAATTTAAAATGTCCTTCATTTACTTAATAAAGACAAATATTGCTGGGAGATATACTGGGACATCAGTTAATGTGGGGAAGGTAAGCATGTCTATATCCTGGTGGTACATGACCTGCCATGCATTTACGTTTCTTCGAGCCACGATTCAACAACATATCTACTCTTCCTTTACATGCTACACGAGCAACTTATTGTGAAGTCAGATGCAGTAAATGTAGATGCAACAGTGTGCTAGAGTACAACAGGCTGTATGCTAAACATTTTTTGACTGCCTCAGTAGTTTTAGAGCCTATTTCAAGAGCATGTGTATGAGTCAGTGGAGGTGAAGAGTAACAGCCTACTACAGAAATTTGTCCTACCTTCTTCCAGCAGACCTCTGATCTGTTCCTCCTTCTCTCTGATCAACTCCATTGTATCACTGGCATTAAGTCTTAGAGAAAGCTCTTCACGCAAGCCTTTTATTTCCTGTGGCAAAGAAAAATGTTATCTTTGACACAAAACCTTTGGACATGCTTGATTTTAGATTTGAGCATCCACCTTACAAAATCTGGACTAGCTGTAGGAAGTCAATAAAATGCTTTGGCTGCTCTTGAAGAGCTACTGTATATTGAGAGATGGAGAATATAGACTAATATGCAAATTACCTTCTTGGCTATGTCCCTTTCTTTGCAGGCCAGCTGAGCCTTCCTCTCTGCATCTGCTATGCGCTGGGTGAACTCATCTTTTAGGGACTGAACAGTGGAACTCTCCTCCTTCAAACTTATCACCTCACTGGAGGACGAACACACTCATTAGTGTAAGAGCTCACTGTCAGAATCTATACAACCTCAATCAAAGCCAAGATTGATCTTAAAAATCAGCACAAGTTACTTAAAGCTTTACAGTGGTATCACTGGTAAGAGCCATGCCTCGCCTGGATATCAACAGAAACATTAGCCTGTTATTCAAAACAACTTCCTTATCAAGCATATTCACAGTGCCTCTGTAAAGAAGGTGTGTGTGTGGGTGTGGGAGTGTAACATATACTCACTCTCTAAGATTGTCACACTCTTCCTCGAGCCTGGCCTTGTCTTTGTTGACTGCCAGCAGCTGAGACTCTCTCTTCTCAAGGCGGCCTGACAGCTCATCAATGACCTATAACATGTCCACAACAGCATTTGTGTTTGTAACAGTAGTTGATATGGAAATATACCATGACAGTGTAGCAGAGCTATTCACTTCTGTTTTGCATTCAAAGGAAGGCTATGCACAATACTGAGTTGGTTTAAAAGATGGGTTGTTGCTACTTTAATCTTAAATATTGCTTTGTGATTACTGAACAGTTCCAAGTTATTTTTATGCCCAACTAAATGGTGTGACGTGCTATACAAAACAATCTCCCACAGTATATTTGCTCACCAAAGTGTGGCAATTATGGATGAGAAGAAATACACGATGGGGATATTTATTGACCTATTGTGGTTTTGTTTGCTGATGACACTACCATATGGGCATCGGGTGAAAACCTACAGCAACTCTCTGGACGGGTTACACAGGAACTTGAGAAGATAAAGAAATGGTGTGACAGTAATATAGTATCTCTGAATTTGGATAAAACTAAATTTATGGTATTTGGGAATCGCAGACTAGACAATGAA